TGCCTCTGCCATGACCACTGAGGTTGCTGCCTCATTTTGTTGAGCCTCTGTTGGTCCTTCCCCCCTCCCGCCGGCGGGCAAATCAGCTAAACTTAACGAACTGTTTAAGCAATCCAAGCAAAAGGTGGGAGATGCCAAACACTTACAATTTTCAGCTAATCTTTGCAGAGCAAAAACGGCGAGATTTATTCCCCCTCCCTGGCCTGACGCTTGCTTGGACTTTGACTTTGTGTTTCATTTTTATACCCGGTACTCGAAGAGTAAATAGGGTATATTGTATTAGTGCACAAAGTGAATGTATGTAAAACACAGAAGGAATCGTTTCCTTCACGTCTGTCTGTCCGTCCGTCTGAACGTCTGTCCGTCCGTCTTGTTAAGCGCCTGGATCTCAGAGACTATAAAAGCTACCAAATTTTGCATCCAGACTACTTACGCTCACGCTTAAGAAGCGTCTCACACGTCCCTTCTCGTTAAATCTAATTCCGAATTTCCACATTTATCAACTTAAATTTCTTTCAGCTGCAGAGCCTCAATGGGCAAGACCAGACAATAGACAAAGAGGGAGAAGACGGAAGAAAGCACCTAAAAAAAAGGAGCTGCAAACGCAACAATATTTATATGCAAGCCATTAGCAGCGCCGAGATTATTCCTGCATATCCAAATGGCCAGGCCAAAAGGTTTCTCTCTATCTCCTGTCATGCACACTCACAAAATCGAAAGCGGGTCAAGGATACGAAGAGTAGAAGGAGGAGTATTGTGCACACATATGTACATATGTCAGAGGATGAAAACAAAGGCTGGAGAACGGATGAGAGATGAGCGATGACTGATGGCTGATGGCTGCGAGTCAATGGAGTGCCGCCGAGATGGGATTGTCACCATCCGCTCATCATGATTATGATTATCATCTTGGAGCAGTAATCGTCATCTATGTACATCTGCCTCTACATCTGCAGCATCATTGTTGTGTTTGATGTGTTTGCATTTGTGTTGCTGCCCCACTTGAAAGTCGCACAAATGAACGCGTAATTGTTTGCACATGAATACATTGGGTAAATATTTGCAAACACATTCAGCAGCAAAAAGAAAACTCCGACTCTTGCTCCCTTGCTGGCTTATACACAAGCAACTCCTGCATTCTGAGGCATGCCCCAGCATCATTATCATCATCATCATCATCAGCATTTGCATCTCGTGGCATGGACTTGAACTGCATTGCCAAGTCAGTGAAGGCGCAGGCCTTAATCTGCTTACCTTGCCTCGGTGACAGACATTTCTTTTCACCTCTTCCTTCAACTGGCATTCCAAAAGGGTGAAGGATGCAGGGGAGGACCACTACGAGGAGCAGTGGAACTCAACTCAGTGAAGAGGAATCTCTCTCTGTCTCTCTCTCCGCTGGCAAAGTTTCTGAGCATCGCAGGGCTTTGCTTTAATTACGGTATGCCCCGGACTTTGAAAGAGCACAAACAAATTGCAAATTGTTTATGGCATGCAAATTAATCAAATCTCTTTCTCAATTAAGCCAGGAAGCCATGAAGCCAAGAGGAGGCCAGCAAGCCATAAAATAGGAGTGAACTGCAGGCAGACAGTCAGGCAAGTGAATCGCCTGATGTCCTGGAGCAACGAGGAAACCAAACAAAACGAGAAGGGACATGGGAGACGCTTCTTACGCGTCACAACTTTCATACCCGGTAGGACAATTGTATCTTTGTGTTTATTTTTTCAAATTTTAAATTTTAAATTGTTTCTATACACATCATAAATGTACGTGGTTTCAATTTATTAGTTGCGAAAGACATCAGAGGATTATTTGTGCAAGCACTAGGCAAACTTCTTAGTGCACGAGCACTGATAGCAAAAGGGATACCCACAAGGGATATAGATATATTTTGAATTGTTGTATTTCTTTCTGTATCTTTATCAGTTTCTGTTGTCAGTTTCTGTTGTCAGTTTCTGTTTATCAGTTTCTGTACTGCTCAAGTTAAAATTTGCGATCCATGGATGATTTTTTTCTGCATTTGAGGATTTGGAAATATATTCTTTAAATGTAATTACCAACTGTACCTTTTCTCTCCCTCTGCATCCTGGTGTGTTTGCAGGCTTCCATTTGGCTGTGCCACGTAGTCGAGGGGTTCGAACTCGTCTGTGCTGCTAGAATGTTCCATTTTGTCTGAATATGCTTTCCGGAATTTGTTTGATATTTGTTTCTCTTACCTTTGGGTCTTGACTCGACTTGCTTTATTTTTCCCGATCTTATTATTGCTCATCTTGATTTCTTGCCTTTTTGCTTCACGACTCAAATGAAAACTAATGCAATGACTAGCGAAACGTGTGGATATTTTTGAATAAAATAAAACAAAAGTTACTTAGATTAGTTATTTAGATCTGTTCTCGACGAGTTACAAAATTGGAAAGAACTAAATCCTGGCTTTACCTACGACCCCAACAATTTCACAAGTCGTGCAGGTGTTTGATAGCTGTACTTTTACCCAAACTAGTACAAAGAGATTTCGTGTGCACCCTTAGCTATGCTCTAGCTAAGCTCGCCGGATTGTCGGGATTCGTTCTAATCTCTCCTATGTTTTGTACTGACACACACTCGCATAATGTTTTAGGTGCACTTTTGAAAAGAATCAAAAATCAAAAGGCAGAACACCGGTTAAATTGGACTGAGTGTATGGCAAGTGGATTAATTATTTTTGGTTGAGAAAAAGGGGGATGATAAAATCAACTACTCTATTCCAATCACGGGAAACTCTGGTGTCGTCGAGAATCCCTCTTCTCTACCCTCCCAACCTATGCTATACTGGTTAATCGAACCGTATAGACCCTAGAAAAATCAGGCAGTTTTCATCCCACCACTTCGATCTTGCTTGTCTGAGGACGGACGTTAGAATTTAGAACATATTAAATCTGCATTTCAAAACAAAGGCTTTCAGATATGTTTCCATGACTTTTATTATTATTATAATTCAATATCTTCGAAATTTTCTTAACCTACAGCGGTATTCATTTTTTTGGCGGTCTATAAGGTAGACCGGTCTATCGCCTATAATAATTTAAGAATTCATTACGGTTACGATTACGGTTATGGTTAAATATTTAGTAACACGCAGGTTACGTTTATACTCTGTGCATATATGGTTTTAAGTTTACAAACTCAGAGGTTTCTTTTGGTTTTGGTATTTGAATACCCTTACTCCTTTCGTAATCGTTGAGCTCAAGGATGGCGTAGGTGCTGGTTTCTGGGGAAAAATAGAAGGTATGAATAATATATGCACACGAGCGTACCTGCAGTTACGATTTGATAATTTCCATTAACTATTTCATACCCACTCTCTTCTACAAACACTCATGATTCCCGACGCTTGAATCTACATATATATAACTGCCAGAGAATTGGCCATAAAATGGCATATTGAACTTAATCCCAGAAAATGTGCAAATTAACACAGCATACCTGCGGACATCTGTCCTGCTGTTGGCGGCGGCTTCTCTGTGGTCAGGTCCGCCAAAATCACGCCCAATGTTCTAGCTCTGGACACTGGGCTAAAATGTGGAACATCCGGCTTGATGTCGATCTGCCGCTTGCATAAGCACTAAAGTGCGCGACAACCTGGTCTTCTAACCGGAGCTGGTTAAAGGTTCCTTATGCACCGGGCTTCCTAAGGGTTGTTACGCCTCACTAATGTTGACCCAAGTCGGAGGTTTTCGATGGTCGGCGTTTCCGTCCGAAGAGGGGTTTAGAAGGGTACCCCTTTTAGATTGGGTGATACGCCTCTAGTAGAGCGCCCCGTGTATGTACTTATACGCACTTAGGCTGCAACGTCGAAACGGGCGCCTGACCTCTGTCCTATAAACTTAATTCACATAAATTACACTGATCCCTTTTCGTAGCCTACGGCCGACGTACCTTGGCTGGTTATTCTTCACACTTGGTACTAGCACCGATCCACAGAGATTCCTTAGAATATACGGTGTTTGCACAAACATTTCACCGCGAGGGATTGCGTAAGTTATATGTGGGTTACGTATATATATGTATATATATATATACTGCTTGCCACAATCACGTTTCTTTTCTTCGATCGACTCTTTGCTAATAACTCTAGCGAAACTCATCCAAGTTAAATTAGGCTGTACAGAACATAAAGCTCAAGATCGGATGATGTTGAAATGCTGAATTAAGTGGAATTTCGGTCAAACGTCAAGGGCAAATTCTATGCTCTCGATACCTTACTCTCTTCTTTAAGATAAGCGCACGCTCTCGCTTACACGTGCTAACACTGCAGCGACTCTCTTTCGTAAGCTCGGCGTAAAGCTTGCGCTTACGATCCACTTTCGGAGTTCTCTTTCGGAATGCACTTTTAAGCTAATCTCTACTGAATATGCAATTATGTTTATCATTGATGCTCTAAGCTTTCTCCCTACTTTCGGCCCCTACACCACAGTTGAAGACGTAAGTGTTCTTAAGGTTTAAACTGAATATCTTTTAGATGATAGACTCCTGGGGTTTTCTTATCTGCAGTAGCTAATTGGTAATACGTGGTCCCAACTCGACTAATAACCTTGGCTGGTACAAACACGGGTGCCAACATAGCGCTGAACTTTTTCATAGCATCTTCAATCTTCAAAATTGTAGGACGCGTGGCTCATTTTTACGATACACTCAATACACTTGTAACCGTGTGAGCATACAGAAGTCTGGATGCAAAATTTGGTGGCTCTAGCTTTTATGATCTCTGAGATCCAGGCGCTCAACAAGACGGACGGACAGACGGACGGACAGACAGACATGGCTAAATCTTCTCAACTATTGATGCTGATTAAGAATATATATACTTTATGGGGTCGGAAACGCTTCATTCTGTGTTTTACATACATTCACTTTGTGCACAAATACAATATACCTTCTTCGAGTACCGGCTGTAATCATCAAAACGAATTTTCGTTTACGAGCAATACATGTGGGGTCCCAGGCCCAGGCCTGGCCCAGACGAATGTTGTCATTCTGGCACTTTAAGAGGCTGCAAAACGGACAAGGACATTCCAACTCGAACCACTTAGTGGTACCCCACAAAACCCAGACATGCGCACCCGAGGAGGCCGTGGCGATCATTTCAACAGGTTCTGTCTGTCACGCGGAAATGGACACCAATACAATATGAATCAAGAACGTGGACGTGGATGTGGACGTGGCCGTGGGCGTGCAGAAGCACCTGCAGAGCCGCCTGTCATTGAACCGAAACCGACCGACAGTGCCATTTGTTGGCGTTAACATCGAGAAGGAGAAGAAAGACGCTCAAGCTGTGAAGCCTGCACCGAAGCCTCTCGAAAAGCCAGCGGAGAGCAGCGACAAGAAAAGCCTGTCCCAGGAGAATGTCACTGGCCTGGGCCCTCTGGAGCGTCACTACACTATAACCGATACCGATGAGGAGAGCAGTGAGGCGGACGAGGACGGGGTTGAGCAGCAGAAATCCAGCAAAAGTAAAACCAAGCTAAAACCCGACAATCGCTGTGCAATTTGCGACAAGAAGGTAAGCAATTTCTCCTGCTTTAGTTACAGAAACAAATCTCATTTTGTTTGCGTTTTTATTTCCCACACATCCTTTAACTGCTCGGCCCAGTATCATAGCCTCAAGGACTGTCCAAAGCCACCGAACATGAACGTTGCTCTGCAGTCATATTGGGAGCAGATGGCCATGCAGCAGAAGGCCATGTTCAATGTGGAGCAGCAACGCTTTGCCGTGCCAGCACTGTCAACCACCACACTCTCGTCCGCGCCTGGCAAGTCGAAGAAGGAGAAAAAGACTCCCAAGAAGACCAAGAAAACGCCACAGAAGAAAATGAAGATGTAAAAATCTTCAAAAATAAAAGCAATGATCCAAACATATCTGAAATATCAGTTCCAAAATGCTCCACCATAGCGAAAAGAAAAATGTTGAACATCACAGGCTCCAGTCGAAGCAAAAACAATGTCAATCTGTGTCGGAGATCTCAACGTAATTTTGCAGATTATAGATGCCGGGAATGTTCTTAGATCAATAGATCGAAAAGGCAAGAACATGTCTGTCTATGATTTTAATATTCATTAATAAAAATAGATGCAATTTTGTCTTTAAACAATCTTGAAAGTCCATACTATCGATAGTGAACCGAAACAACCGATTTTCGGCTTTTTCAACCATCGATAGTATCGACTGACCAGCTGTTGCATGTGTTGATAGTATTTATTTTTTGTGTAGTGCACACATTTATTAGATTCAAACTGTGTTGTACTTATTGGTTAAGTTGAGGGGAGTGTGTCCTATAATGTNTCTGCATTAAGTGCTCGGCCCAGTATCATAGCCTCAAGGACTGTCCAAAGCCACCGAACATGAACGTTGCTCTGCAGTCATATTGGGAGCAGATGGCCATGCAGCAGAAGGCCATGTTCAATGTGGAGCAGCAACGCTTTGCCGTGCCAGCACTGTCAACCACCACACTCTCGTCCGCTCCTGGCAAGTCGAAGAAGGAGAAAAAGACTCCCAAGAAGAACGCCACAGAAGAAAATGAAGGTGTAAAAATCTTCAAAAATAAAAGCAATGATCCAAACATATCTGAAATATCAGTTCCAAAATGCTCCACCATAGCGAAAAGAAAAATGTTGAACATCTCAGGCTCCAGTCGAAGCAAAAACAATGTCAATCTGTGTCGGAGATCTCAACGTAATTTTGCAGATTATAGATGCCGGGAATGTTCTTAGATCAATAGATCGAAAAGGCAAGAACATGTCTGTCTATGATTTTAATATTCATTAATAAAAATAGATGCAATTTTGTCTTTAAACAATCTTGAAAGTCCATACTATCGATAGTGAACCGAAACAACCGATTTTCGGCTTTTTCAACCATCGATAGTATCGACTGACCAGCTGTTGCATGTGTTGATAGTATTTATTTTTTGTGTAGTGCACACATTTATTAGATTCAAACTGTGTTGTACTTATTGGTTAAGTTGAGGGGAGTGTGTCCTATAATGTTTGCCTATGTTTCCCATTTGGCCAAAACATACAAATGTTGTGTACCCTGGGTTCGTGGGTCGCTGGTCGTTTCACGTGGTTTCATGTGAGTCTGTCACTATTTTCTATACACGGACAATGTATACAGAAACGTTTTTCCAAAAACATATGTAGAACGTTGGAAATTGAGGATAGACAAAGGACAAACCACTCTGTGCCGCAGCTGGAAGGATGGTTGAGGCCGCGTGGATTGACGACTGGCTTGAGCATGGTCTGTTGCAGATCCGTGATGACCTCACTGACCTCACCTCACATCACGCTAACGGCCGCTTGATTATCAGTTCAGCAGATTGGCCGCATAGCTGAGAATGCCACGGGCTATTTGTTGGAGCAGATACTCGCGGTCCAGCTCGAACAGCTCCTCCCTCACGTCCATCATGCGATTCTCAAAGTGACACTGAATGGCCGCAAAGACTAGTCTTGTCCAGGCCGACCTGGCTGCAGACGCCAAGGGTGCTGGCCACACCGCTGAAGGAAGTTCTTTTGCGGAATGCAGGGCTTGGCCACCGTGGCCATGCGTCGCTCCCTTCCGCGGTTAAATGAATGCTCCAATTAGGCGAGCAGCAGAAAGTGCTCCACCCCCCCGCGGCAGCTGTGCCACATCTGCGATCCCACCCAGGGCCCGCCAATGAATTGGTAACAAGCTTTTGTTCTTTATTTTCACACTCGCATAATTATGAAGTTTTGCCGTGGGCACAACTCATTAAAATGCAGACAAATCAAATTTTCATTTCCATTTGCCATTTTTCACCATTTTTGTGTCTGGCTGTGTGTGTGTGCCTTGCTTGGCATGCATCAGTAGCAACAAAAATTCGATTTCAATAATTTTGTTATATTAAACAGCATAAAGTCGGGCTTTAATTAACATTTCGCCATTGGACACAATCGCCACACATCGCGGCGCGGCCACAGCAAATTGATTCCCCTTGATTGGCCAAATCCCCAAACGAGCCACGGTCTCCTACTGCTACTCTTCCACCACTTGGCATGCCATTCAATTGAAGCCACATAGCCAGACCCCAATGAACCCTAGAGGAAAAGGCGCATATACCAGAGTGTTCCCGATCCCGATCCCGATCCCACACTGTGGTTTCAATTTATGAGTTATTCAGTAGACAAACTATCTGTCTTTATCTGTGTTATTTGGAGTGTTTTTCCTTCTTGTGGGCTCATTAAGCGTTGTGGTTGGTAGGTGCTCCAGGTAGTTCCCACACATATTCTCCTGTTACGTGTCCTCTGTGGGCTCAGCATTCACTCGATGATGCGGTGATTGCAGATCAGGCGGTATAGTCCTATCAACAAGTTGTCCGCCTCCTGGATGGTCATGGCATACACGTAGACACGCCCATGGTCATGCAGCTTCGCCACCACGCCTGGTATTTCACTGGTCACATAATACACATACTGCGAAGAGACATAATCGCGGCACGTCTGGGTGGACAGCACATAGCGTTCGCCGAACTT